TCTTTTTTTCTTTTTGTTTTATTAATTTTTTTTTTTAAATTGGTCTTGCAAAAGAAAATTAATAAAATAATTTTTTTTTGTTTGTATTTTATTAAGGTTATTATAGTCTTTTTATACTGAATTTAATAAAAAAAATTAAATTGGTCTTGCACTAAGTAAATTTCGTCTTGCAAATAGTCGCTGCCTAATAATAATTAATATGGGTCAGATATTTTACAAAAAAAAAAAAAGATTAACTAAAATATAGTTGCAAATAGTCAAATTATTCATCATCAGATATTGTGGCTATAAAACTCAGATCCAATGCTAAAACTCAAGAGCATTTAAATAAGTTCCAAGAAAATAAATTAAAAAAAAAAAAAAAAAAGTCGCTGGATTGGAAAAACGAAAACAAAAAATAAATGATCCTAATGAATGAATAATGTAGAGATAGATACGTAATAAAAAAATGGCAACCAATCAGCCTTCCGTTTAGTTCACGGCTACTCCAGCAGAGAGGTAGTTGGAACGAAGCGAGTCTTGGTTGGAGAGTTTGGACTTGGAGAGTTTGAGCACCTCAACAGCCTCTTCCACTTTGGCTGCTAGTAACTCTGCCGAGTCTAATAGTACTAGAAGTTCCGAGTTGTCCATCTCCAGTAGCATTCCTGTTATCTTTGCCGCTAACTCAGGCTGCACAAATTTATATATACATACACATACATCATTAATTTCTCTAGTCAGCCATATATGCACAAATAATAATTGTAAAAAACGGCAAAAAGATCGTAAAAATACTGAAAGTTCGTCACCTGATGATGACGAACAAGCGGAAAAAGACGCTCCCCAAGTATATGCTTCTGTTGCTCTGGAGGGGCAGCAGCAAGCAAGCTACTTAACATCTGTGACCCCTCAGCACCAACTACAATCTGCTCAACGTATAAGTATACACTCTCGTTTAATTTATATTTATTATGCCACATTTGTCTAACTGAGGACATGCAGGAAAATTATATCAAAAGTGCAAAAATAGACCTGTTGTTGGTTGCCTGAATCTTTCGATGTAGCCATAGAAAGGTACGGCTGTTGCAGATGTGCTCCATATGTCAGACTAGCACCCTGTGGAAGAACATGCCCATTCATCCTTGCTCTGTTCTGTCTGTGGTTTCTTGAATTGTTAGGTAACTGCAAAATGCAAAGGAAACAATAACAATGAATGAAACCAAGCTAATTTATTAATAGGAAACTCATTTAAAACCAATTTCGTGAACTAAAAACCTAATAATACTGACCATGGTGATTGAAGATTGATGAAGTGCAGGTCTAGAAGGATTTGGAATGCCGTTAGCTCTCCATCCAGGCCTGATTCCAGTAGGCTGATACATCAGGCTAGGTGGTGCAGGAATTTGTGGAACAACGCCAGGTGGTGGATAATAAAGATGAGGGTATCCACCAGGAAGAACAGCTGATGATCCTGCTAATCCTGCCATACGCTGAGCGTATAGTACCTGCAGCTGGGCTTGTCGTTCCTCTTTCCTTTGAGCAATTGCCACGTACAATGGCTTCCGACGCAAAATGATTCCTGTAACATATTGATAACAAAGTATCTCAGGTCCTATATTAACTAGCAGGCTTTTCAAATCATTAGAAATAAAAGAATGTGAAATGAAGCTTCATAATCTATGGAAAAAAGATATTCAGAGAGGTATGCATAAAGGGTATTGTTTCTACTTTCTATAATTCCATTTGCAACATCAATTTGTGTTACCAGACACATCACTCATTGTGTATTTGCCTCATGATTAGTAAATGTTGTCTGACAAATTTTCATCGCAAGTACGTTCATATTTCGAACACAAAACCTATAAAGAAGTTTAATTTGTACGCCCCACTACAAGTTAGAGTTAATGAAATAAACTGTAAAAGTATATACAGCTTTATTTGTGGAGGCGTATACCCACCATGGAAAGTGTACACAGCTTTATTTGCCTCCTCCTGCCTGGAGAAGCAAACAAATCCAAAACCCCTGCTCACTCCTTTATCATCTCGCATAATCTTTGCAGAGGTAATTGTGCCACACTGACTAAAATGTTGCCTCAGCTCCTCTTCAGTGATTTCATCATCAATATTCTTCACGTACACATTCGAAGCCTGAAATTGGTAGATGGGAAGAAAATCATGATCACAGAAAACAGAAAATTAATTACATAGACACTGAAGAAAATGATTCCTCGGGACCTGGTATTTTTGGATCTGTTCTTTCCTTTTCTCCTCAAAATGGCGGCGCAGCATTTCCTCACGTTCAGTTTTTTTCTGTGCCCGAGATACATATAAAATCTTTGAGCCTGTTGAGTAAACAAGTTATAAGACAAGCTTCAAGCAGCAAAAATTCTGCAGTTTAATCTGGAAATAAACATTTGTAGCAGGTCCTGTTCGTACCAAGTTGCGATCCATGTAAAGCTTCCACTGCAGATTTAGCATCGTCTGGGTTCTCGAAGTTGACGAATCCAAAGCCTCTTGATGCACCATTCCCATCTTTTGAAATGACTAAGCTTACAATTTTTCCATATTCAGAAAACTTTTCCTTAAGGACTTCTTCGGAGAAACTTGTGTCCAAATTCTTCACGTACAGATTTGTGTACTTAGCTTCAAGACTAGGAGCAGCTCGGTCATTCTTCTTCACAAACTTACCCACAAACCTATGCAACAAAAGGATTTCTCAAAATACAATGAAAATTATGAAGCTAAGAGAATTGGCTTTCATACTACCAAAACACAAAATTAAGGAAAAAGGGTACGGAAAAGACACACATCTGTTTTCCCCCGTTGGTCGATCCATTGAGCTCTTCGATGGCAGCTTTTGCAGAAGTTTCAGTTTCAAACTGGATAAAGCCATATCCTTTGCTCTTACCATCATCAGAAGTGACAACTTTACAGGATAATATATTACCAAACTTCTGAAACATTTCGTGAAGTTTCACACTATCGATCGAATCATTCAAGTTCTACAGTCACGGACGGAAAGTAAATTATTATGTTGGAATAAGTGAATCGTTAAACAATATAAAGATATCTCAATCACCAATGCACGGACTCAAAAGTGATAAACAGAGTGTTACCTTGACAAAGACATTTCCAATTCCACTTCTTCTTGCATCCGAGTCACGGTGCGACCACGTAACCCTTATCGCTCTTCCATTCAATATGGAATGATTTTTCTCCTCGATAGCACGAATGGCTACTCGAAACAAAATACTATATTAGAATGATTCCTTTCTCTCAGTTACTTATGGATCATATGGATCATGAATCACGATCACTTCTGCAAAATAACTTTTAAAATGCACATGAACGAAGGCAATAGATGGCTACACCAATGTGATTTCATCGACGGCTGTTTCTGTGATTATTCCTCGATCAGATTTTTTTTTTGGGTACCAAAAAAGGTAGTGATATGATTTATTATTTTCAATTATAAAGCACTCGATCAGACTTTTTCAAATTTGAAAATCTCAATCGGAAAACAATCAGTCAAAATTAACCAAAATCAAAAGCCCTAATATTCAAGCATTCATTCCGATCCACTTATAAGCACACACACAAAACACGTTCAACAAACATAGGTACACAGAGACATAAATACACGGCTAGATTAACAAATGCATATAGATCAAAGAGTACCATCTTGAGGCGAGACGAAATTGACGTAGCCATAACAGAGAGAGGTGTTGGTGGACGAGTCACGGCAGATGCGGACGGAGGCAAGGCTCTTGAACTCCGCGAAAGCCTCGAGAAGCATACCATCCGTCACGTCTTTCTGCAAATCCCCAACGTACAGAGACGCAGGTGCCGCCGGTACAGTCGGTTCCGCCGCCATTAATCCTTCCTGTCGAGCAATCAAACAGCAACAGCCAAAAAAAAATAAAAATTGATTGTGAATATTTTAGGCGTTACGTTGACGCAATGTATCGATCTGTATTAGGTCGGATGTTACAATTGAATGAAGAATCTGGGAGAGTGAATACTGATAAATGGAAAGCAAATGAGCAGATTTCTTTTCTTTTCCCTTTTGGGGAATATTGGGATAATACTGATAATTAATGGAGGGGGATTTTGGGGGTGATGAGAGAGAGAGAGAGAAGAGTGAGTGTGAGAAAGTGTGTGAACTGTGTGTTTGTTTGTTGCCTGTGAGGGTAATTTGCATGGACGCGGGAGTTTTGTGCCGTTTCGCTAAGCGAGTACCAGAAAGGGTGTGTTTTGTGTGCGCGACGCTCCTGTGGAGGCGCGTTGGACTAACTTGCGTAGGGTTAATTTTGGAATTAAATTTATTAGACCGATTAACTATAGTATAATATCTTTACATAAAGAATGAAATAAAGATTTCGCTTATCTAATGTCTATATTACTAAAACTTGATATTGTTTTTGAAATATATCACATTTTTTTAATCGTTTTAATTAATCAAGTGACCAAATATAATACAATCTAGTAAATACAATTATTTGAAAAAAATATAGGTTTATTTTTTTCATTCGTAGAATCATATTGTATGTAATTTATAAATCATATTTAATTTTAGAAATTAAGTAAGTGAATCAAAGTTTTTTTGTATAAATCATATTTAATTTTAGAAATTAAGTAAGTAAATTAATGTTTTCTTATATAAGTTAAGTAAATCATATTGTAGGCGCGTGTTAAATATAAAAGGAAGAGATAAGTAAAAAAGACAGCGATAAAAAAGGCTAGTAAAAGTGGAAATGAGACCCAAAAGAGAAGCACAGCCTCAAAGACCTGTTCAACTCGCTCCGCCGCCCTCAGCCACAAACGGCCGCTCGTTCTGGCGTCTCTTCTCCATATTTTGCTCAAAAAAAAAAATTGAAAAAAAAATCTGATTCATTCATTTTCCTTTTCTCTTATCACAATTAATAAATAAAAATATTCCTTTCCTTTAGGTAATCTCCATACGTAATCTTTTGAACGTTTTCTTTAATATAATTACGATATATATATATATATATATGAAGATTTTATACAAATAATATATACAGAATTGTAGAATTATTATTATAAGTTAAATAGAAAAATCTTGTTGCCAATATAAGTGAAATCAAATCACACTACAATAAATTATAAAAAAAAAAAAAAAAAAAAAAAGGGGACACCGCAATTAAGAATATTTGAATCATTTGATTTAGAAATATTTATTTTATAGGTGCGCCACTTTTGAGCTAATGTTAAATTACGAAAAACTCCCTCATATTTGAGTAATTACAACTATGAATCTTCTTTAACGTCTACACTTGAAGTGTCAAATTTAGTGGAATCTTCTAGATTATGTGGAATATTCTCCAGTTTCTACCATGTTTACCACATTCGAGCTCTATTTTGAAACAAGATGATCATAAGATGTGCCTTTTGGCTTGTAAATTTCAAATTGTGGTGCATCAGAAACTGCATTTTCGAAACGAGTACAAACTAGAGAATATTCCTCAGAATTTAGAAGATTTTGTTAAATTTGATACCATAAAGATGGACTTGCAAGAAAATACATAATTGATGGGATTGGTTGTAATTACTCAAACATGAGTGATTTTTTTTATAATTTATAATTACCTCAAGAGTGACCGTAATTTACACCAATTTATATATTTATACGAGAATCGACATAATTGAAAAGGGGAGAAAAACAGGAACAATTAAAAGCTGCTTATTATGTGAATATTGGCATGTTCAAAGGGTTGGTCTCGTGAATTGTCTGGTCATTTTATTACTTTTTCCTGTGATTTGCTCAAAAGTCAAACACGCACGTAAAACATGAATATAATTGTGGCTCGTAAAGTACTCCATATAATATAATATAATATATTCATGTATACAAAATATATAAAATTTTCATCAGAATAAATAAGCTTCTCTAATAAAGCTGTATACTAGTGTTATGAATTCTTCTATGGCATGGGAGTTGCATGAAAGCATGCCACAAAAAAGAATAAACTCAGGTGGGGAGATAAAAGCTGGGCTACGTACATCTATTCTTGAAGATGAAAAATACAACTGGCTGGCAATTGCAGCAAAAAAATTAAACTGGCGTTGCTACTAAGAATTGGCAAAAAAAAAAAAAAAAACAAAAAAAAAAAGGGCATGAGTGAAGAAATAATTTACAAAAATAGAAATCCAATTAATACCAATAAATGCAGCACGAGATAATTATTATAAGTGTCGTGCATTAACTTGAAGAGTACACTAGTAGATGAGCTTCTGCTCACACTCAGCTGCCCAGCATTCACATATTCGTCTTTACCGGAAGTTATAGATACATTAACGGACGAAGTACCTGAAGAAAAAAGAATTTGAGGGTTTTTTTGTACAGTAAAATCTCAAGTTATATCACTGGTTATAAGAAGATGATAATAATTGTTATGAAATGAAGTGGTGGATTGAAAAAAGTTCACTTACAATCATAGTCTGCCCATCCTATTCTTTGATGAGCCAAATCATAAACGAAGATTTTATCTTTGAGAACAAGATCTGGGAATAAGAAACGTAAAATAAGTTTTGTTGCAGTCCCATATTTCCCAGAAATCATAGTTGTGTTAGAAAGAACAAGTGGCTTAGACAGGCAACCAACCTCCTAAAATTGTTGTGCCTTGATTCTGAACTTTAACAAAGCCTATGCACCACGTTGCAGCACCATCCTGAACAAAACAGAACCAATGCGCCAGTTAAATACTTCCTAAATCGACTTTTTTAAAAAGAACCAATGCACCAGTTAGAGATGAAAGGAAAACTCACAACAAATCCCATGCGTACAAGGTAGTCGATGGGTCTTAAAACCATTGATGCACCACCAGCAAAATTGAAAGCAACTGTTGGGAACATCTCACCTACGCTGTACAGAACATAAAAACATCTTATTCAAGCATTCCGTATATTTGCATTGTTATTATTTTTCTTTTTTCCCCACCTTAAAAGATCATTTAGAATGGACGGCTCTCAGCTGCCCATTTAAATTATGAACAGTAAAACAAACCTTGCAGAGATTAGATAGCATTGATTTCCTTTGGAGATGATTGGTTTCACGGACGTAGAAACAGCAGCTGTTATCTGCAATCGATAAAATTTCAGTGGAGGAGTTCCACAAACTTTGAGTTTTTATAAGACATCATTGTTCAAAGAGAATCGAATTAGATAAATTGTCGTGTTTATGATAATTACAGGACAGGAAAAAGGGCCACACAGATACTTACAGCAGCAACAAGAGGGTCGTAAGCTCCTTCAACAAGGTATGCCAAAGTTGTTCCAGAATCAACAATGGTTCCTTGGTTGCCTGATGTTGTAAACACTGCTTGATCAATGGGTAACACTTGTCCATTGACAGCAATGCTCTGCAGATATAAATTATAATGAGGCCTGAAAGATCAGAGAAGAAAAATATATCAAATAGTGAATTAAAAAAAAAATTCCCATGTTTCTTATTCACTCAATGCATTTAATGGAAAAAGCAACAAGCAGGAAGATCATTACGGGAACTTATGAAGTGCATAAATAGATATCACTAGTAGTCCTTAGATGTAGTGTGACGCAAGTAAAAGGTACAAACTAGGGGGAAAAGAGGGCATAAGAATCAATAAAAAATGGCAAAAAAAAAATAAAAAAGAAGAGAGCATTTGACAAAATTACGAAGAAATTATAGCAAGAGGAGATCTGATTTCAACAGACGAACAGAACACATTAAGTATCACTTATATCATACCATTCTGTACAACTAACCAGAACTATCTCAAACTCGGCATCTGTTTCTAAGACACAATTAAGTGGGGCAGTGATATCTTCAATAGATGCCACTGACATGTATGAAACGGCAATTGTGTATAATGCTTGAATGATATTTACTATATAACTATAATTGTTGGTGAAGAATAAACACCCATAAGAGTAGTAAAAAACATTTGCATATTGTCAAAGTACGTACTGTGACGGTACAAGGGGAGTATAAACTATTCTTGGGTCCAATATCTCACCAAGAACTAGTATACCTCCACCACTGCCTTCTCCTCTCAAGCAATGAGAAAATACTTTAGGTGTGATACCACGTGATGACAACTGTGATATTACTGAAAGGCCCTGCTGGCCAAACCCAAAAATCCCATCAACTGCTCTATCTGATTTTGTCAAGTCTCCAAACAGTGAGGTGGTGCACCTATTTCCACAAAAAAATCGAAGTTAATGCTTCAGCACACTAATATTTTACTGTAAGCTAGAACATACAATGAAACTGAAGAAGGGACTAGAAGAAAAATCTAGTATCTGTTAAGCCTAAGGATTAAAATGTTTTATTATTTAAACATTCTTCCAACTGGCCAAAAGATCCAGAACACAAGATTCTTAAAATATTCCAAGCTGTTCTTCTTGAGGTACTATCAGAGGCAGTATTTTACAACTATCAAGTCCAAATTGCTCTCAAGTAAAATTTAATTTTAGTCATGCAAGGGTGTCATCTACATATACGCATACACATAAAATAAAGTGGGGTCACGAAAACTACTTACCCAAAAACAATAGGAGCAGACGAATTGGTTATCAATGAGGTACCCAAAATTGAATCAAAATAAAGGATATCGGACATGTAGAAACCAGATGTGCCACTTCCATCCCCATATTGGAATGAGTAATTACACAGATTACCCTCATTTGAGCATTCAGCAGAGGCAATTTGAACTATGGAAGCACATATACTATCTGAGCACGAAATAGGTGAAACAGTTGATGATGTAGCAGCATCGAAGAAATTAAGAGGAATCTGCAAGTACAGCATCGGGAATGAAACTCAAATTTCATTCAATGATGAATCAAATTAACCAAAACATGAGTAAAAACGAGGATAAAGAGCTTAGTTTTACCCCCAATCCACTGTTTAGAGGACAATCGTTACAGGAACTGCAAGTGACCCACAAAATGTCACTCCCAGTATCAATTTGCACATTGAACTCTCGTGGTGGAGATCCCAATCTAACTTTGGTATAATAGAGTCTTCAAAATTGAGAAGCGTAGTTAATCGTCAGAAACAGGAATATGAGTTAAGAACTAAAACATAATCATATAAGGATTTAATAAATCAAAATAAGTTCAATCAAGACAGTGAGAACAGTAAAGTGCAAGATTACAGTCAAAGCACTCATACTAATGAAGTGTGTTCCCACAGTTTGCCAATACAACAAACATTAGCATAAGAAACAAAATTCCGGCCCCCAACAAGGGGGCAAAAAACTTTTAACAATTAGCAACAACAAAGCCCAAATTATCAACATTTCAATCTGTCATGACCTCGCCCTAAAAAATTGAATCAATCTACGAATTATTAGACTGCTCAGAAAACATTTCCAAAGACAAACTTTATATATGCAACCAATTTAAGCAATTTATTCCCAAATTATATTAAATCACAGAACTCGTTCCCATATCATTATCAACAGCATCCAACAAACAATTAAAGGAAAATTGATAGTTATATTCACCACCCTACTCCGCCAAAGGAGTTGGATAATTAACATCATAAACATGGGGGAAAAATGACAAACCAGAGAACAGATATAATTTCGAGAGATAGATAAAATTACCCAACGGCGTAGGGATCAGAGGTACCGCCAACAGAAAAATCAACGATGCCGCCGGGATAGCTCTGCAGCATTCTCGAGTGTCTCGCACGGTCCCGAGCTTTAACCGCCTCCAGCTCTACCCTCTCCTCCACCGGAAATGCCCTCTCCAGAGTCAAAACTCTCTGAAATCCACCGCCGCCGCCCAGCGCAGATACCACGTCGGCTTCAGCCAGCCCAGCCACCACTGTAATCACCAACAAAAATCCGGCAGCCATCGCCGGACCTCTAAAACCCCGCTGAATTTTATACATACGGTTTAACCTTTTTAACTTATTCGCTCTGCGTATGTTGTCTGTATGTATACCGTATACGTATATATATATATATCAAAATTCAAAAGAATAATTAATTTACAGAGGAGTGGGCAAAATTAGAAGTTACTAAATGCTTTCTTCTCCATTTGATTTGCTGAATATATATAGAGGGAAAAAAAAGTGATGACGTTTGCCCAGGAAAAAACACACAGTCACACATATTGCTGTGTGTGACTAAGCTGTGATTCATAAATTTATCAGAGATTAGTACAAATTAATGGTGAGGCTGTGTGTATTAAAATAAAAAAATGCAGAAATAGACGAGAAAATTCAAAGTAGTCAAAATGGGGACGACTTAAGAAAAGGGTAAAATGGGTAATATGATAGGAATAAGAGAATAAAATAAGTGGACTGCTTTCCACTTGTTTATTCCTGTTTTATGAATATTTAAACTTATATAATCATTTTTATCTATGTGGATATAGTGTACAATGAAATAGTATAATATGTGTCAGCTGGTTTGGTTTTAATTTGAGAATGTTTTTGTTCTTCTGAAGATCAAAATTAAATGCTTAGTTAAATTTTCCAAAATAAATATATCTAATTCGAATCTGAGTCAATCTGCAGATGTTCGTTTGCTCCATCCGCTATATATATATATATATATATATATATATATATATATATATATATATATATATATATGTCAATCCTAGATATATTTTTCCTCTTCTTATCGAACCACATTCAAGGAATTTTTAATTTTAACTTACGGAATTTGTAACTTTTTTTTTCTTAAATCACCATCAATATTAATGAAAAGGGACTCTCGTTAACTTTTGGAAAATGATTGCGATACGACACTGATAATGTTTTTTTTCTTCTCATTTTTGTAGCACAACAATTATTGTTTCTTCTTCTAGTTATACCATAAACATGTTGTATTAATTACACTCATATATGCAGTGTCCCCAATTAATCATAAACCAAATTATACGATTTCGGTTACGTACTCTTTGGAATTTTTTGACAAATGTTGTTTTATTTAATAATGATTAAACCAAACTCATTTTATGGCTATATATCTAAAGTTAATTGTAGTATACTCCATGTTAATACACAACACCTTGAAATGGAGCCACAAGCTTTTAAATTGAAGACCTTTATTCTAGTGATCAATGCTTTTTTGTCCAAATTTTGGGTCCAAGAAATGATTGATACACGTGATCTACTACGCAAAATTGGGTTGAAAAAAGGTGGTGGCTTTTGGTTTTCTTATCCCACAATCCTGCACAAAATAATTGAGGGATATCCCTCGTAAATTAGGAAATCGGCAACTAGATATATAAAAAAGAACATAATTATGTTCATTTTGTCGGAAATGAACCTAAACGCTACAAAGATGTTGTAGAATTTTATAAATATGTTAAATGACTTGCTGCTATGAATGATGGGACGTCCTCTTTAATATGTTAATCATACATGAATTCTTATGCCATGTGTTCGACTGTATAGATTGTTTAAGAATAAGCATAAAACTGATCCTTTAGATGCAAAATTAGACTACTCAAGCGCAAGTGGTTGAATGAACAGAGGTTGACTACATTGAAATGTTTATTTCGAAGTGAGTACCCCAACAAATCTATGCAATCACGAGCACGTATATGAATGGATGCGTAAGAAGTAGATAATCATCTATACCGCTATAATCATCTATACCTGTGCATGTGACATATTACATGATAAAATTCATCAATTGTTGCATATAATGTTCTGTACAAATATATGGTTAGTCTAATGTGGTTTACATCTCTTGAATGTTGTGAAAACAAAGATACGAGAGTGTAGATTTACGGAGTACACCTATATGGTTGGTAGCATGTGATAGAAGGAAAATATTTGGAGAGAAGAGAGAATGATATCTCTTACGTATATTGAGAATATATATAGTTACATGTAGGAAACCCTAACCTACTACACAAGGTAATCCAATATACAAGGTAACCTAATGTATAAGGTAACTATAATAAATAATAATAATAATAATAATAATAATAATAATAATATACGCTAATACACCCCCGCAGTCGAAACGGGAAAGGAGAGAACGTGGAGACTGGAAACAAACTGTTGGAACAGTTGAGTGGGGAGACCTTTCGTGAAGATATCAGCAAACTGGTAGGCGGATGGGACGTGAAGAACTCGAACGTGTCCCAAAGCAACTTTGTCTCGGACAAAGTGTATATCGATCTCCACATGTTTCGTACGAGAGTGTTGAATGGGATTGCTGGATAGGTAGACGGCACTAACGTTGTCACAGTAGACAATGGTGGCTTTCGGAAGTGGGCAGAGCAACTCGGAAAGTAGGTTGCGTAACCAAGTCGTTTCGGCAACGGCATTTGCGACAGCTCGGTATTCGGCCTCCGCACTCGATCGAGAAGTAGTGACCTGTCGTTTGGAGGACCAAGAGATGAGGTTGTTGCCGAGGAAAACACAATAGCCCGATGTCGAACGACGAGTGTCAGGGCAGCCACCCCAATCGGCGTCGGAGTAGGCGATAAGGGAGAGGTCCGGATTGGGGGAGAGCTGAAGGCCGTGATCGAGGGTCCCACGGATGTAGCGAAGGATACGCTTGAGAGCAGCCATATGAGGTTCCCTCGGATCATGCATGAATAGGCATATTTGTTGCACAGCATAGCAGATGTCAGGACGAGTAAACGTGAGGTATTGCAGTGCACCGGCAAGGCTGCGATAAAGAGTGGGGTCAGCAACGGGGGGTCCAGTGGTCGAGGACAACTTGCTCTTGGTGTCAGCCGGCGTAAGACAAGGGTTGCAGGAGGCCATGTGTGCACGCTCTAGTATCTCGTCAGCGTACTTGCGTTGAGAGAGAAACAGCCCATTCGACGAGCGAGTGACTGAGATGCCGAGAAAGTAGTGAAGATCGCCAAGATCCTTCATTGCGAACTCTTGAGTAAGGGCAGCGATGATAGAACGTAGCAATTCAGGTGTGGAGGCCGTGAGTACAATGTCATCGACATACAACAGAAGGTAGGCGCATGAACTGTTGCGACAGTCGCGTGAACTGTTGCGACAGTCGCGGGAACTGTTGCGGCAGTACACGAAGAGTGAAGTGTCGGACTTGCATTCTCTGAACCCCATGCTAGTAATGTGAGATGCAAAACGCTTGTACCAAGCACGTGGTGCCTGCTTGAGGCCGTAGAGTGCTTTGTTGAGACGACACACGTGAGTGGGGCGAGATGGATCGACGAATCCGGGAGGTTGCTCGCAGTAGACAGTTTCAGAGAGATTGCCATGTAAGAAGGCATTTTTCACGTCAAGTTGGTGGATAGGCCATGATCGCGAGAGAGCAATACTGAGAACTGTTCGAACAGTTGCTGGTTTGACCACCGGACTGAATGTTTCATCGAAATCAATGCCAGGGCGTTGATCAAAACCGCGAACAACCCATCGTGCTTTATACCGTTCCAATGAACCATCAGCCTTCAATTTCTGCTTATATAACCACTTGCCACTGATAACATTAGTAGAGGGGGGGCGGGGCACAATATCCCATGTGTTATTTTTAATCAAAGCAGTATATTCCTCAAGCATGGCCATACGCCAGTTTGGATCAAGGAGGGCATGGCGATATGTAGTGGGAGTTTGGGATGCGGTAGACACGGTAAGAGAAAAGGGGATTTTGGGCTTGTGAATACCGGCCTTGCTGCGTGTCAACATAGGATGGTTGGGTGGGGGTGAGGAAGCGGGAGTGGGAGGCTGTGATTCTGCTGGGTGTGGAGATGCAGTCGGGTGGAGGGGCATGGGTGTAGTTGAGGGAGGACTGTCGGACGAACTGTTGGGACAGTTGGTTGTAACCGTAGGTGGTTGTGTATCGTTGTTGGACGAACTGTTGGGACAGTTGTGTGAGACAGTTGGTTGGACTTGTGTAGGCTGAGGAAGGAAGAGAAGTGGGTGCAGGGGTTCGGTCATATTAGAGGTGGGGGAATTGTGGGGTGAGTCGGTGGGTTCGGCGAATGGAAAACGGCTTTCATCAAAGGTCACATGGCGGGAGATAATGATTCGACCGGTTGACCGATCGAGGCAACGATAGCCTTTGTGCGATGAGGGGTGACCAAGGTAGACACAAGGAGTAGAGCGAGGGGCGAGTTTGTGAGGGGTGGTGGCGGTTAGATTGGGATAACAGAGACAACCGAAGACACGAAGGTGAGAGTATGTGGGTTTTGATTTGTATAGGGATTCATGTGGTGTGCGATTTTGTGTGGATTTGGTAGGAAGGATGTTGATGAGGTGTGTAGCCATATGAAGGGCTTCGACCCAATAGGTGGGGGGAAGGGAAGCTTGAAAGAGAAGTGAGCGGATCATGTTTGTGATGGTGCGGATCATGCGTTCGGCATGTCCGTTTTGAGGGGAAGAGTGGGGACATGAGAAACGGTGTAAGATACCGTGTTTGGCAAAATATGTTTGAAAATCTGTATTTTTGAATTCACGTCCATTATCGCATTGTAAAGCTTTAATGGGGTGCTGAAATTGTGTTTGTATAAGTTTGTGAAACTGTTGGAACAGTGAGAAAACATCGGATTTATAGTGTATGGGGAAAGTCCATGTATAGTGGGTGAAATCATCTATTAGTACGAGGTAATATTTGAAACCAGAAATACTAGAAATAGGAGAGGTCCATAGATCAGCATGAATAATTTCAAAAGGTGCAACGGTAATAGAATGACTAGTAAAGAAAGGTAAGCGAGAATGTTTGCCTAATTGACAAGCATTACAAAGAGACTCCCGTGGGTCTTTGGTACTAGAAATTAAATTGGAAGAAAAAAGACGAGACATGACAGGGTTTCCCGGGTGACCGAGACGACGATGCCATGTAGTAGAGGAGACAGACGTGGTGTGAGCAAGGAGGGCGGTTGCGGATGGGCTGGGAGAAGGGGCGCCAATAGGGTATAAATCACCGGAGCTATTGCACCTGAGGATGAGTGTTCTGGTCCGGAGGTCCTTCACAGAAAAGCCATAAGGGTCAAATTCAACTGAACAAGAGTTATCTCTAGTGAATTTTCGGACAGACACAAGGTTCTTAATGATGTGAGGAGTAACATAGACATTGGTTAGACGAAATGGGGTAGAGGGTAGGATGGTGTGGCCAATTTTATGGATAGGAACAGTGGAGCCATTACCAACGATGACATGCTTGGGAAAATTATTACTAGGATTAAAAATAAAATGGAAATTACCTGAGTGAGGTGCCATGTGAGATGAGGCGCCCGTGTCCATAAACCACTGAGGTTCGCTCGATGACTGAAGAGTCAACGTGTTGAGATGAGTGGCAAGATCTGTTGGCTGTAGGGGACCACTGTTCGACGAACTGTTGGAACAGTTCACGTGCTGTTGGGGATCTTGCTGTCCAACGAAATAAGCATGAGCTGTAGGAGCATGATACGGACCAGGAGAGCTTGGGGGGGGTCCAAGAATCGATGAAGATGTCTGAGGCGTATAAGGGGCCCGCCAAGGTTGCGATTGGTAGTGAAATTGATTGTAACCGTAGTGTTGCATCGGATGTCGTGACTGACCACGACCGCCACGACGATTTGTGCGACCGACACCTCGCTGATTGCGCCAAGAACCACCACCTCGATAATTGCTGGAAGTGTTGGGCCAACTGTTGGAACTGTTCGGCCAACTGTTGGAACTGTTGGGGCGAGATGCGTAGAGAACAGTAGGGGTCTGTTCCGGTTCAGCAATGCGATGTTCTTCCATCTGGAGTAGTGAACGTGTTTGGAGAAAAGATGGCAGCGGAGTTTGGAAGGAGATTAGATTGACAATGGTCCCGTAATGTTTTGGTAAGCCGTGGAGGGTTTGGAGGACGAGTTGCTTGTCTGACACGGGGTTGCCGACGTCTGCCAAGTTGTCGGCAGTGGTTTTGAGAAGTTGACAATAATCATGGATCGAAAGAGATCCTTTCTTGAGGGACTTGAACTGTTCTTCGAGTTGGATGGCCCGATAGTCTTCGTTGTCTGTAAAGAGAGAGGCGAGGGCCTTCCACAGATCATGGGCCATTGCGGTTTTGGAGAGAACCATGCTTGAGAGGTCCTCGGTTATGGTGCCATAGATCCAAGATTGGAGGAGGTAATCCGCACGTTGCCATTCATCGGCGGAGATGTTGTCGGGCTTTTTGTTTCCGAGAAGCAGATCGGTGAGGCAGAAGCGACCTGCGGTGATGGTGAAGAAGTGGCTCCACTTTTGATAGTTCGGATTTTTAATATCCAGGGTTACAGGAATAAGGGCTTTGATGTTAGATATAGCATGAGCAAGGTGAAAAGGGTTAGAAATCATGGGCGGTGTTGGTGTTTCGGTGGCCATGGTTGAAGAGAAGAAGGCAGAACGTGAAGAAAAAAAAAATTGAAGAAGGCAGAACGAGAAAAAAAAATTTGAAGAAGGAGAGAAACGGCGGCTAGGGTTTTTGGCTTGATACCATGATAGAAGGAGAATATTTGGAGAGAAGAGAGAATGATATCTCTTACGTATATTGAGAATATATATAGTTACATGTAGGAAACCCTAACCTACTACACAAGGTAATCCAATATACAAGGTAACCTAATGTATAAGGTAACTATAATAAATAATAATAATAATAATAATAATAATAATAATAATATACGCTAATAGCATGTTCCTCCACTAAAAAAAAAGAAAAAAGAAAAAAAGAGTACAAATTTCAAATTGGATTTATTTTGGTCCGTTACAAATTTAACACTAGTGTCCGTAAATCGGCCACGTAACTGGCTCTATAAGTCGGCTCAATAGTAATGCATAATACCAATCAATTGGGCCCAATTTTATGATATCAGAGGCCCAATTTCCAAGAACTTTGGACCGTGAGCCATGGCTCTCCGATTGGCGGCAAGGAGAACGCTCTCTTCTACGGCGCCGTTTCTTCAGAAATCGGCGGTCACCGAAAAACTCGCGATCGTCGCCCACGGCAGATGCGCATACTCTTCATCTTCCTCTCCCAATCCTAATCAGAAAGTGAGCTCCGATCGCCTCTCCTCAGTTATCGACACCGTCAACGACCGTAAACTCCCACCGGAGCTACGTGGACAACGCAACAACGTTAGGTTAACATTTTCCCCCCTTCAGCATAAATTCCGATTTTCGATATATGCCGCGGTAGAGGCTCCCCTCTCCCTTCTTTAGTAGCAATGTTCACTACTGCCGCTGTTGCGGAGCACCCGCCCGTAGGTTTTAGTAGACATCGGTACGATTGTAGGATGTTCTAACTCATAAGGCAATGATAGGGGGAGTACTATTAACAACCATCTCGCTCGCTGGTCTTTTCGACCGTATTATCGACCACGATCGAATCCCGCCCGCATTCGGGATCGGGCAGAGGCCAACAATCAGTAGGGCAATAGCATAGCTATTATTGACCTGACAAATATTGCGATCCATATCACGAATTTCTTCATTCAATTTTTAAAAATTGGAGAGCTTAATTTTGAAGAATAGACCAAACAGAGTATTTTGTGTGAAACAGTGCCCAATTGGTGTACATTTGATTGATTTTGCTCATTGTTCATATTATTTATAGCAAAGGGGAAATATTTACCTAGTTTCTGTGATGATTTGTGCCCTAGTTTGTCAGCATACTGTTTATATAGGGTATATGTCTTGGCTTCAATAATTGGTGCAGCTTGCAAAAAATAAGCTTGTATCTCAATTACTAAATTGTTTATTCTCCATTGGGATTGTTAAATTGGAAGAAAGAAAAATCGACAAAAAAGAAGTGACATTCGGTATTAACTTCCAGATCGGAAACCGACATTATAAACGTTGTGGAGCAAAGAGTATGGCATGCAATGGAAGAAGGTCAATTCGAAAACTTACCGGGAAAAGGAAAGCCGCTAGACCTCACAAGTAACCCTCACGTAGACCCCGCTGAAGACACCTTGTATAGAATTCTCAACAAAAATGGATGCGCGCCCGAATGGATTGAGCTCAACAAAGAGATACGAAATAGCGTTGCTAGTTGGCGATTGGCCCTCAAGAAAGCTTGGGTGCATTATAATAACAAAGGAGATCATAGTCATGACTCCAAATGGCTCAAGTCATCCGAGGCATTGAAACTTCAGCTGCGCGATCTGAATAATAAGGTATAAATCGTGTTTATAATCGACGCACATGGAAAAAAAACATTTAATTAAAACAGGGCTGGTATATTTGTTGCATGTTCATTTTTTTGTGACGAAATGAATGTTTGTAGGTCTTTCGTTACAACCTTATTGTTCCGTTTGGGAGGCAGATGCTTGGGTTCAAGTGGGAGAGAGAAGTGGATCGACTCAAGGAGGAATTGCAGGAGACGGATAAATGAGAGAGGCTTCTATATTTGTTTGTTTATGTGCTTTTCTTACACCTATTGAACCTTTAGGGAGTATTCGTTATTTTGATCGCCGGTAGAATTTTTTTAAACGAAAGACAGCTCGTTGAAATAATTGGTAATCGCGGTCGAATATAACAAAAAATTGGATAGTGCACTGAGCCCCGGACTTGAGATGAACAGAAAACAGCATTGTGACTTATTGCATTGTGATTTGTGAGTACAAGTTTGGTCACTCATACTATAAACGGAAAAATATACATTTTTCATCCCTCAAATTTGCACTGATTTCATATTTAATTCCCTATGTTTATAAAAAAAACACATTTGGTCCATTTGTTTCAAAAATGAAACAAGTTTAGTCATTTTCGTCAATTTTCCGTTAGTAATAACGGAATCACGCATGTGACGATCACTGCCTTAACTGATGAATTATCGATAAATTGACATAAATGACCAAAATTGTTAAATTATAGAAACATGAGGTGCCAAATTAAACACTTTTATATCACAAAATTAAATTAATGACTTATGTCAACATGTACTAGTTGTCATTAAACAGTGCTTTTAATGCCCCTTTGCTGTCCGGCCAAATTACTCAACCGATTTGTTCCCGCCCTTTTATTCTATTAGCATTAATATTTATTAAATATATACAATAATAAAATAATTAATACAAACCTTATATTTTATTAATTTTGAGCAGAATATACACCTTGTATTTATCATTCACAATGTCAACTTTATTAATTATTAATTTCTCCCACAAGGCAATGTCGTAAGTGGACAAATTAATGGATAATTTCATGTAGCAGTGTGACAACAATCAACAAAATAGCGGATTATTTCATGCAGCTGATAACTTAGCTGTCTTTCTGCTTCTTCGTAACATCAATTCACTAGTCATTGTTCAATTAAATAAATTAATAAATAAAAAGAAGTTATATATTAGTATTATAGTATTTCAGTTCGGTCAAATTTGATTCAATAATATAACATAAGATATGGTACATTTTCTTAAAAAAAAGTGACGGATATTTTGAAACGGAAGAAATAGTAAACTATGTATGAATATCTCGAAACTCGTATCCTTTTCTTCTTCCATAGATTATGGTCCCAAATAAGTGTTGGCTTTTCACTACAATTTGAAGTCATTGTTTGGTGGTTTCAATTTCACTTCCATAAAAAAAATTAAAAAAACAATAATAAATTTGATTTTCATTGAATTAAGGAAAGATAAAATCATTTCCCCCAAATTCAGGTTTTCGTTGTGTTATTAGTCTTGTCCTCGTCTAATGTATAGACACAATCTCGTGACTAAATTTGTGGGTAAGAACCCATTTTTGGGTTGTTGCTGTTACATTAACCTTGTGAAAATGTTAATGCAATTCCGGGGCATGATGCGACTTCCCGAAGCGAATTCTAGTTGGAACCACCTAACTATTTTATTTCGAATTATTATATATACTTAATTATATTAACATTATACTTATTTTTTGTGTGTATATATATATATATATCATTGTAATATTCATTATTAATATATGTAACAATTACTATCTTTCTTTGAAATTTCATGCATAAATTATGTTCTAAAGATGAAAAATTTGAATACCCCATCACATTATAATCAAGAATCTTGCTTAAGAGTGTTAGGACATGACATCTTGCCTACGCCCACATTGCATTATACATGGGACCCACTAATGAAATTGAATAAGAAATACTGAAGGGTAATTTAAATAATTAAAAAGATATATAGTATTTATGACGTCATCAACAACAAAAAAGCCCATGCTGTGGGGCCCAGGACGAATAACCACTAGGGAGTCCCACGTAAGAAAAGCACAAATGGCTTCGAAAACGACGGCGTATGGATCACATTACAAGCTTATTATAGTGGCCGACCCTCTTTGCCTACGTACGTACAGACGCAGAGAAGATCCAAAATATTGTAGCGTACGCGCCATACCTCTCTCCCTACTTAATTAGATCCAACGGCTCACAACACTCTTCAGCCACCCCTTTCGATCCTGTCCGTCCGTAGGTTAAAAGAAATTCCAAAAAATTAGGCTTTGGCCCCAACCCAACCTAGGTGAAGTTGTAACAATTTCTGTCACATTTATTAATTGCCAATAAATTTGTGCATAAATAGGTAATTATTTTGTGGGGGGAAAGTTTTTATTTTTTATTTTTTATTTTTTGGGTTACTTTCTCTGTATAACGCAGCTTGTTTTGTATATATTAATTAATTAAAATACGTATGTATAATTAGTGTACGCTGATGTGTTTAACAAAAGATATTATATATATATTAAAAATAAAAAATATATACGTATATAATTTGGCGTACGGTGAATTTCTTGTGGCATTCAAAGTTGCTGCTTGTTTAGGTTAGGTCTCTCTCTCTCTCTCTCTCTCTCTCTCTCTCTCTCTCTCTCTCTCTCCTCTTTCTCTCTCCTTTCTTTGCCAATTCAATCACGACACCATTGGAGAAAACCCAATTCGATAATGGTAATGCATATATACATATACATATAATCTTAATCACTAGTGTATTCTAATGCCATTGTTTTTTTTTTTGTTTCTCTCTCTAAGATTATTGTATGCTGTGATAATGATTATGCAAGTTAATTTATGTAGGAGGAGTACAGAATGCCGGCGGTGCCGTGGCTAGAAAGACTGCTAAACACCACCTTCTTCAACCTGTGCCGCAACCACGCCGCCGCGGCCCGGAGCGAATGCAATATGTTCTGCTTGGATTGCAATTGCGACGCCTTTTGCTTCTACTGCCGATCATCTAAGCACAAAGACCATCAAGTCATTCAGGTTAATCTCATTAATTTAATTATATATATTGGCCGCCGGCCGGCCTTTCTTTAATTATATTTCCTTTTTTTTTTTATATTATTATTGTTTATGATTTTGCCAGAATATAAATCGTAAGTCCAATTCAAAACAATGCAGTAATTGGTAGCAGTAACCATCATTCAATAAATAATGCCTAACTCTTTGAATATTAGTTTTAATGTGACCCCTCGGAACAGGCGTTACAACCTAGCCTTGCTTTTGTTTTCCACCCAATAAATTAATTATTAGTATCAAATAATTTTATTAGTGCATATATATAAATTTATTAATAAAATTGTAATTGTTGGATGAATGAATGAATGAATGAATGAATGCAGATAAGGCGATCATCGTATCATGATGTGGTGAGGGTATCGGAGATACAGAAGGTACTAGATATAAGTGGGGTGCAGACATACGTAATAAACAGCGCTAGGGTTTTGTTCCTGAACGAGAGGCCTCACCCTAAGTTAGGTGGGAAAGCACCTTCTGTTTCTCACCTCTGTCAAATCTGTGGCCGCTCCCTTTTGGACACCTTTCGCTTCTGTTCTTTGGGATGCAAGGTATATATATACATATATTTCTTTTCTTTTTTTTTTCCTTCCAAATTTCTTGATATATATATTAATAAATATATTTATCATTTTCCGAATAATAAAATAATGTAGGTAGTAGGAAAAAAGAGGAATAATGGGGAAGCAAATGCAAGAAAAGAGGTAGTGATAGAAAGAGAAAGAAGAGGTGATGAAGAAGAAGAAGTGATATCAAGACAAGAAATGGGTGAAGACATATACCCAAACACACCACCTCCTACTGCTAGAAGAAGAAAAGGCATCCCTCAAAGAGCTCCTTTTAGCTCCTAATTTATTATTAATTAATTAATTATCACCTTCTTTTATTTTCTTTTCTTTACTTTTATTTTGTATATATGAAATATTCCAAAAAGGCAAACGGGGGGTTACAATGGAAATAATTAAAAAAATAATACTACTTCTTGTTGGGGAATAACAATAATTGGTGAATAAATTATTGTTAGTAGTTAGTTGCAAGGTGGAAATGCAATTAACAAATTAAAAGGCAGTCTTTGTGAGTTCGTTTTTTAATTTGATTTGGTCCACCACCACACATGCACCGTTTAGCCAAACATCAACACCTTTAATATATGGGTAAATTCCACTTTACCCCTTTACTTTGGTTAGATATCACTTTACCTCTTTATACTCTCAATTGCATCGATTTGCCCCCTTGTACTTTGGTTCGATATCACTTTAACCCCTCCTACTCTCAATTCATCGATTTGCCCCCTTGTACTTTAGCTAGATATCACTTTACCCCTTTGTACTCTCAATTGCATCGATTTGCCCCCTTGTACTTTGGTTCGATATCACTTTAACCCCTTCTACTCTCAATTCATCGATTTGCCCCCTTGTACTTTGGCTCGATATCACTTTAACCCCTTCTACTCTCAATTGCATCGATTTGTCCCCCTTACTTGAAAAATTGTCTCAATGTGGCCATCGCCGTTAGTTTTTAGACCTTTGAACTTAACACCGTTTGATTTAATTATGAAAATTACTAAAATGTGACCCCTCCAGTTTAAATAATTATTAAAAAATTAAAAAAAAATAAAAAATAAAAAACAACAAAAAATAAAATAATAAAAAAATTCAAGACAGCGAGAAAACATAGTCCACGACACTAGCCACAATTTTTTATTTTTTATTTATTAATAATTATTTAAACTGGGAGGGGTGGTTTTTTTGTAATTTTCAAACTTAGATCAAACGGTGTTAAGGTCAAAGGTCTGAAAACTAACGGTGATGGCCACATTGAGATAATTTTCAAGTACATGGGGCCAAATCGATGCAATTGAGAGTAGAATGGGGTAAAATGATATCGAGCCAAAGTACAAGGGAACAAATCGATGAATTGAGAATACAAGTAGTAAAGTGATATCAAACCAAAGTACAAGGGGACAAATCAATGCAATTGAGAGTACATGGGGTAATTAAGTGATATCCAACCAAAGTACAATGGGGTAAAGTGGAATTTACCCTTAATATATTAGTGTTATTATTTATTTATTTCTTTAGGTTTTATTAATAAATAATACAATGATCGATGAATATATTCGTAGGTTGAAAAGGAAGGATATATGTTTGTGAATCTTATATATATTGGTCGGAGCCGCCGAACAAGTAGGTAAATTTCTACTACAGTTTAGGAGTTCACAGGCTGTGCACAGAGAAGCTTTCAAGATTTTATTCCTGCTTTGACAGCAAGGTTTTCTTTTGCTAATTTATTCAATAATTGAGTCTTAGTTGATGCTTATTATTATTATTTTTTTTTGGAATGATCCAATTTTTATTATTAAAAAAAAAAAGAAGCTTTTATTCAATTTCTTAAGAAAGATCAGTTCATATATAGGTAGGCTGGGCTGGCAAATCTTTGGGCCGGTTCACATCAAAATTGGTATTTTGTACACACCTATTAGCAAACTCCTTATAGCAAGAAATAATCGATAAATTATTTCTACTGGGCTCGTATAAATATTTAAGTTTGGATTTTATTGATGGGGCAACACCTAACTTAATCATACTTCATGGGCTCAAAATTAAGCCGAAACCTCAACAATATGTATGACTAAGAGCCTGTTTGGCTAAGCTTATAAGCTCCTAAAAACATCTTATAAGATGTTTAGGAGCTTATAAGTTGTTAAAAGGTGTTTGGTAAAAAAATTGCAAAAGATCTTATTTTTTCAAAAAATAAGCTGTTAGGGAGCTTATAAGATGTTTTTAAAAAAGTACCTCTACCCCACATTTTTTTCTTTAAGATCTTATTTGCTTCTTTACTAAAACACTTAAAATACAAAATTACCCTCAAATACTTTATTATATTACATGAATACTAATAATATTTATATTTTATCAAAACAACGTATTCTTGTAATCAAAATTAATAATTAGTTAAATATAATTATCGTAATTATCATAATAATTGTAAAAAAAAATTATTCTCTATTTATATTTTATATATATATAAAAATACACGAATATTCTTATTATCTCCATAATAAATTATATTTCTTTCATCTAAAAAAAATTATATTTCTTTTACAAGTTTTATTTTATATTATTATATAATTTTGTATTATTATTATTATTTGAAAAATAATTTGTAAATATTATAATAATATTTTAGGAACAAAAGTATTTGAGTCAAATAAGTTTAACAATGTCATGTACTTTTTTGTCATTATAGCAATAAACAGACCTTTTATTTCCAAACACCTGAACAACTTATAAAAACAAAAAGTAACTTATAAGCTACATATCCAAACACCTTGAAAAATAATTTTTAAAATAAGATCTAACAGCTTATCAGCTCCTAAAACATCTTATCAGATGTAGGAGCTTATAAGATGTTTTAAATAAGCTTAGCCAAACGGGCTCTAAGAGGGTGTTTGGCTAAGCTTATAAGATGTTAAAAGGAGCTTATAAGATGTTTTAGAGCTTATAAGCTCTTTCAAAGTGTTTGGTAATTTTTTAGAAAAAGATCTTATTTTTTTTTAAAATAAGCTGTTGGAGAGCAAATAAGATCTTTTTAAATAAGTACCTCTACCCCACCTTTTTATTTAAGATCTTTTAATGAGTAAAAATAGGAAATAAGCCCATTATCCAAACACTCAAAAAATTAATCCTAAAAATAAGATGTAACAACTTATCAGCTCTTAAAACATCTTATCAGACGTAAGAGCTTATCAGCTGTTTAAAATAAGCTTAGCCAAACACCCTCTAAAACACACGATCGATACATCATCGGATTGTCTCTATTCGATTTCCTCATTAATTTACTACCTTGAAGGTTGGAGTGTTCCTCGATCCAGGGCTCCAGCCTCGAGATTTCGGGTGGACTGAGCAATTTTCCGGCAATCAAAAGTCGAGGAAATTGTTCTAGAAGAGCCAATTTAGACGAGGCTTAAGTCGACCTCCATCAAATACAATAAATAGAATTGCAAAAAATATAAACCAAAAATTTGAGTTATTGTAAGTTGTGATTGGTATATTTTTATTTAATCCAACACCTTTTATATGTCCGATAAGTAACAAGCTAGGAACTAAAAGAAGCATAAAAATATGTAATTAAAAGAAGAAAAGGATTGATTGGCTGTGATGTCAAGAAACATTACGTACTACGTACTACGTACTACGTACCAAGACAATGCAAAAGAAACATTACGTACTACGTACTATATATACAATAATATACAAGACATATAGTAATATATATCAATCACCAAAGAATAGAAGTTGAGATTTTGCAACAATACAGAAACCTGATGAAAAAAAAATCATGTGTTCTAAATGGTATTTTCATTTGCTACAAAAATATGTATGTATATATAATGTATTAATGATATAAAAATTAGATATAAAATACTATTTAAGCTAGAAATAAAGATATATATGCTTCTCCCTTTTTTTTTTTTGAGAAAATAAAGTATGCTTCTCAAGAGCTCAAAAAATAAATAAATAAAAGTCGAAGAAAATTAAACCTTTCCAATTAGGATAATATGCAGCATAATCGCTATATAATTTCTCTGTCGTACGGCAAAAAATAATTATTTATTTTTTTTTGAAAAATATATATATGAGGATCGGATCTGTAATGTGGAGGAGTGGTGGGAGAGATATGCGAATGGCATATCCTTTGAAGATGCTATATTTTTCCTAATCTTTATGGTCACCTTTTAACAATAAAGTTCCCCCACAACTTCCTCTACTTATGTCACTTCAATCTTTTTATTGCCCCCTCACTATCACCTACATATGCATGTTTACTTACCTTATTATAACCCCTTTTTAATCACCTCCTTCTTCTCTCTTTCTCTCTCTGATTTTGGTGGCGGCCGCCATGGAGGAGAATGCACCGACGGCGATGGTGGTGGTCGAACATGGCGGCAGGAGCGGTAATTGCACCCACCGTCGTAATTAAGCAGCCTGCATAGCTGCAATATGGATGAGTACGGTGGTGGTGGTGCTTTTAATTTGTTGTTGTTAGGGCAACTTCTATCCTTTGGCATTTTTCGCTTCTTTTCTTTTAGAGGCTGATGATCATATTATTATTATGAATGATTAATTAATAATGTGTTGTGTGTGCTGTTTTAATTAATTCCGTACTTTGAAGTTTCAATATTTATAATGTAATAATGTAGTATTTGCAGCTTTGCTTGAATTTCTTAATATTATCTACGTGGAGGGCCTTTGGCTAATCAATAAACTGTTTAATATTTAATTTCTTTATGCATTGTAAGCTTATTTTATCTATGTTTTTGTAACAATTAATACGACCGCAATCAAATCAACTGTTTATGTGCACTAGGTAAATTTCATCTTTTTTTTTTTTTTATTACTGTTGAACTATTGATTCGTGTTTGCTGTTGTTTCTGAAAATATTATAAGTTATGAGTTTGAATTGAATTATTAGTTATAATTAAATATTAAGGAGGTCTTTGTGGTGTTTTAAAATATGAGTGGTCTATATGTAATTAGACGTAACTTTGGGAGGACAATATAATTTATTAATTCAATATTTCGCTATGAAATACAAATAAATTTTCAAAAATGTCAACTATCAAATGCATTAAGTGTTAGCTAATATATCAAACATGTGAAAGTCATACCTAATTTTTCAAGTTAGATGTGGTTGACTTGTAATTGCACCTAACCTTAGTTAATATAGGTGTAATTTGCAGTAAAAATAATAAAGCATTTCACAATCATACAATAAAAATCGCGGGCTACTCTAAATCGATTATCGGTTAAAAGTAGTGCACTATAAAAAATGTTCAAGCACAATTTTTAAAGTTCGACCCTGACTCGATTGCTTATTAAACACAAACTTCAAAGTTGGTTAAAAATTCAAAGAAATTAAAATGATAGGGGTTCATTTGCAAGATACACAAACTAAAAGGGGTAATGTGCTATTCCGCCAGAGCATGTAACTGGGCTTTCAACTCAACTGCTCGATTGAGCCCAAGTCAAGACCCGACCCGACCCGACCAGATCCGAGCAAATGGGTGAAGTTTGAATAAGAGCGCGTGGGCAATTTGTGTGTGTTATGAGTTAGCTTAGCGTGTGGCTTATTCAATCTCCATTTGCTGCCTGCCCATACCTTTTTTTTCACATTAATATTAATTTCACTAAATGTAATCATTTCTTTCCACATACATAAATTAATTTCCCTTACATTCTACGTCAAACCCAAAACCCATCAATAAAACTACACCATATTCCACACATAATTAATACCTATACACACACACACCTAAACTAAACCCAAAAACAAAAACACCATAAACAACCAACCCCACTTTTTTCTCTTACCTAAAACAATGAACATCAAAACCACCATCCTCTTTTGGCTCACCACCTTACTCATTCTTCTCCTCTCTCTCATACTTTCCCAACACTCTTCTCACTCTTCCACTACTCCATACTTTACCATTCGTCCGATTCTCGACGTCGATTTTTTTCGCTTAGATGAAATATTCTCGATTTTACGAAGAATCGTCTATAAAGGACACCACCATCATAATCACCATCATCATAATCACACAAGAAGGCAAAATGTTTCATGTAATGAAAACATATGGAAGTCTAGTCTCATATCATTGTACAATGTTACCTCTGTTTTTACAGTCGATTCAAAGGGCTGTGCGAATTTCAGCACCGTTCAGAAAGCGGTTGATTCCGCACCTGATTTTAGCCGTGCTTGGACGCTTATCATCGTTGGTTCAGGCACATATAGGTAAATTGATCAGCATATATATAAATTATTTACTAATATTTTATTTGTTTACTAAATTATATATATATATAATGGCAGGGAAAAAATAGAGATAAGTTCTAACAAGACAAACTTAATAGTACAAGGCCAAGGTTACCTCAAAACTGCTATAGAATGGAACGACACGGCGAATTCGACCGGAGGGACGAGCTACAGCTCTACTTTTGCTGTTTCTGCTCCCAACTTTATAGCTTACAACATTAGCTTTATGGTATTTATATTATATAGTTTTTCTCGATAATATTTGATTTATTTTTTCCTATAAGGGATCTTATCTTCTTTCGATTTATTTAACGAAAAATATTGAAAATTATAAGAACACAGCTCCAGCTCCAGATCCAGGGGAAGTTGGAGGACAAGCATTAGCATTAAGGGTTTCGGGCGATAAATCGGCTTTTTACGGATGTGGATTTTACGGAGCGCAAGATACATTAAATGATGATCAAGGCAGGCATTATTACAAAGAATGTTTTATCCAGGGCTCCATTGATTTCATTTTTGGAAATGCCAGATCACTTTTTGAGGTATACATACATACATACATACATACATATATACCATGTTTGTAATATCAATTTTTAAGCATGATAAAAAAATATATATTTATTTTGAAGGATTGCACGATAAATTCGACGGCAAAAGACGTAAGTTTGGCTGGTGGTGGGGTAAGTGGCAGTATCACAGCCCAGGGAAGAGATTCGGCGAACGAAAAATCGGGATTCTCGTTTGTGAAATGCAGCATACGTGGCAGTGGGAAAGTGTGGCTGGGGAGAGCATGGGGGCATTATTCGACTACAATTTTCTCCAAAACATACATGTCTGAAGTTGTTGCTGCCGAGGGATGGAATGATTGGAGGGATTCTTCTAGAGATCAGTCCGTGCTTTATATATATATATATATATATATTTAATTTCCCTTTTTAAATAATTTGGTACGTAAATCTTTATTTTGTGTTTGAAAAGTTGGTAAATGATTTAGGCCTTTTAATTTGCAGAACGGTTATGTTTGGGGAATACGAGTGTTATGGGCCGGGGGCTAACTCGACGAACAGAGTGGGATACGGGAAGCAGTTGAGGCAATCGGAAGCAGCTCCGTATCTTGATGTTTCGTTCATTGATGGAGAAGAATGGCTTCTTGATAATGATAATTCACTGCATTTTCTTGATGTTCAATCAGATTTTGTTAAGGATTACTGATTTGGAATATAAGCAATTTGAGCTACAATAGTTATAAGCATATACCACATGTACTACTTTTATAATTATACAGTGTATTATGTATTATTGTACATTGGTTTTGTATTTTGTTACACCTAATTTCGAATAATTTGGGTTGAATTGAATTATTTACAGCTGAATGTTAGAAGAAAGAAAATCATATTGGACCAAATATATAACACTGACATTGTCACATAGGATAAAATAGCTGGTCCCTCTGTGGCTCTGTCGTTGACCCATAATAGACCTTCTAGAAGCAGACCAAACGATATGGACTCAAATAATACCACATATATCTTGAGGTTTCATTTCAATTCCCTGTCAAATTCTATCTTGAGTGTAAATAAATAGACTTTTAATATTATCACAATTATTATTCTACATCAATTGAGAACGAATCATATGATATCACTGTTAGAGAATATTATATATAGAACTCTTGTAATATTAGGATTCTAGTATGATTGAGTTACCTAGATTAGTTAGGATTTAGTTACCTAGTCAAACTCTATTACCTTGGAATATTTCTCTATATATATTCCATGTAATCAACCCATAACACAATGGGGGTTTCTATTCTATTACGTATTATTATGGGGGTTTCTATTCTATTACGTATTATTATTTCTCTCCTTCTCTCATTCTATTCTTCTTATATGGTATCAGAGCACCAGGTTTAGGTTTTTTAACCTGGCCGCCTTTCTTCTCCATGGCGGTGAAAACCTAGCCGCTTTTCTTCTCCATGGCGGTGACCACCCAATTTTCTCCCTCCCCCGGTGGTGGTACTCTAATATTTTTTTTTCTTTTTTTTTTTTTTTTCTATCTTTTCCATGAACACCACCCAATTTTCTCCCTCCCCGGTGGTGGTACTCTAATATTTTTTTTTTTTTTTTTTTTTCTATCTTTTCCATGAACACCACCCAATTTTCTCCCTCCCCCGGTGGTGCATCTTCTCTATCTCTTTCTTCTTCTTCTTATTCTTCTTCTTCTTCTTCTTCTTCTCCATGGCCTAAAACCTAGCCGCCGCTTCTCTTCTTCTCCATGGCCGGCGACCACCAAACCGAATTTTCTCCCTCTCTCGGTGGTTGGTGTATCTTCTCTATCTTTTTCTTCTTCTTCTTCTCCATGGCCTAAAACCTAGGCGCTGCCTCTCTTCTTCTCCATGGTCGGCGACCCCTCTCTCTCTCGATTCATACACAAAAAAAAAAAAAAAAAAACAAGATATTCTTATTTTTCTCTCACCCGTTATTATTATTAATTTTTTTTTTAAATTGGGCAGATATTTCTATTGAGGAATTCTCTAGCGTTGTGTTTCGCTGTTTCTGTCCAGTCTTCACATTTGAAGTTTCCAGTCTTCACGTTCGAAGTTTATTCGTTCCGACTGCGGGAGCGTGCTAGCAAGTGATTGTCCAGTCTTCACGTTCGTCACGTTTCGACTGCGGGGGCGTGTTAGAGAATATTATATATAGAACTCTTGTAATATTAGGATTCTAGTATGATTGAGTTACCTAGATTAGTTAGGATTTAGTTACCTAGTCAAACTCTATTACCTTGGAATATTTCTCTATATATATTCCATGTAATCAACCCATAACACAATGGGGGTTTCTATTCTATTACGTATTATTATTTCTCTCCTTCTCTCATTCTATTCTTCTTATAATCACATTTTAGTTTCATGCCAGGATACAAATTAAAAAAAAAACAGTACAAAGGTTTAATTTTCAGAATTAAGCAAGCCATAATAAATAAAAACAAAATACACCGAATAATAATATAATTTAATAATTATAGTATTTGATTTAAAACATTATTGAAGTTGGTGCAAGACATCTCCAATGAACATTGATACATTCAAGAAAGACGAACCTCCTTCTTCCACCGCTTCTCTCGCCATTTTTGCAAGCTCCTCAGCTTTCTCTCTCCTCTTCTTCGTTATAATAATATTCCCTTCTTCTTCACTTTCAGTCCCCATCACTTTTTTAATTGCATTTTTGACCCTATCCCACGTCACCACCATATTATTATTATTATTATTATTATTATTATTATTATTATTGGAATAATCCAAGCAACCATCTACCCCAACTCTAACACCAATCCCTAAAACATCAACAATGAACTTCTCATTGTAGAACTGTTCGGCGAACATCGGCCACGTCACCATCTGCACGCCGGCGCAAACACCTTCCAGCGTCGAGTTCCACCCGCAGTGCGTCACGAATCCCCCGACCGACCGGTGCGACAGTATCGCCACCTGTGGGGCCCACCCTCGTATCACCACCCCTCTTCCTCGTACCCTCTCTTCGAACCCACCATCTTCCGCCGCCAGCCATTCCTCCACCTCCGCCGCACAGGAATCTTGATCATATTTTCTGATGACCCAGATGAACGGCGAATTCGAAGCTTCCAATCCCAAACCAATCTCTTTTATCTGGTCTGCAGATATCCGACACAAGCTTCCGAAACATGCGTAGATGACTGAGTTCGGCTTCATCTGATCCAGCCACGTCAGACAGTCGTCGACGGAGGAGGGTTTGTTAATGATGTTTTTTCCTCCGCCGGAAAATGACGTGTCGGTGTTGCAGAGTGAAACTGGTCCAATGCACCACACTTTTCCATTTTCCCTTTTGTACCCTTCAACGTACCAATGCTCCAATTCATGGAAACTGTTGACCAGAATACCCTTCACCGAATCTCGGGCCTGTTTAACATGGTCTTTAATCTCTTCAAAATTATTACCGCCGGAGGAATCTTCCGACGACGTCGTTTTAGGCAACTGGGCTTTGGTGAATTCGATTCTATGAGGTATGTCAGGCACAAGAAACTTCTCGGAATCAGAAACTGCGTCTTCTTGAAAACTAGAGAGAGAAAGTTTATGGGAGCAGAGGAGAGAGAAACACGATATGGTTTCGAAAAGGTATCTGGGTATGTTGAATTTCTCGGCGGGTTTTTTTATCCAGGAAACTGCAGTGGTGGAGATTATGCAGTCGGGTTTCGGTTCTAATTCTCCGATGAGTTTCTCCAGCGGGGCTTCCAGCATTTGACTTGCCCGGAAGAATCTCCGGGTGAGCTCCGGCGAGTTGATGACTGTGTCCAGATTCTCGCATCCCTCCGGCAGGCCGGCTTCTCGGCATGGGAATTCGATGGGGATTGTTTGGATGTTGTGATTGCGGATTGATGATTTGTGCGTGACGTCATTGAGTGGGGTGGTGACGATTGAAACAAACGCGCCTTGTCGGGCGAGTAGGTTGCCGAAGTCTGTGAGTGGGATTATATGGCTCTGTGACATTAATGGGACTAAGAGGAAATGAAGCTGGTGCGCCATTGTTGATGCGGTGGTGAAGATAAAGAAAAATAAATAAATAAATTTTGAATAAATAAATAAAGAAAGAGTACTAGCATTTATTGAATGAAAATCAGACAACCTAAATCTTCTAGAAGAATTGTCAGGGAATTACTGTAGATTATTACATGATATTACGGTAATGATTAAAATCAGGTTATTTAAAGATGAAAGGAATTTCGGTAATATATGTTTGACTTTATTTTGCAATATGATTTATGTTTTTTATATTATTTTCCAGATATTCATTAAATATTTTTTCAGAGATTCATTTAATATTACAAACTCTTCTAGACCTTGGCGGGCCTTGGAGTTTCATTTTTAATGAACTATAGCCCGGCTCAGACCAATTGGGTCAATTTCTGCGAGTGGGCCAGAGTTGGGTAACTTCAGGGGTGAAAATCGGATCAATCGGATTGAAATTAATGTTTCCGGAAAGAAAATATAACCTTTTCTTGGCTTCTCGTAAGTAAAAAACTAATTTTAATTCCGTTAAAGAAATTAAAATTGGAATAATTAAAACTTGTTTGAATACCACAAATTTTCGAATTGGAATCCGCGAAATTTAGAAATTCCAAAATATTTAGTCACGTGTAATATAAAATACATAAAGTAATGATGTTGCAAGTGTAACTTTCAAGAAAAAAAAAAATTGGTATTTCCAAAAATATTATCGGAAATTAAAATCTAATATGCATTCCAATTACGTTCCAACAAAAAAATCAAAAAAAAAAAAATCAGAATTCGAAATGAAAAATATAATTTCATAATCGAAAATATTCGAATTGGGAAATTGACCGAATTGGAAAATATTGTTCCAAATCTCCAATTTATTTATCAACATAAAACTACTTCAACTTTAAAATTCAAATTAATTGACAATTTGAAACCTAGTACAGAATGATCAACAATTTAATTTCTTACAAACTTGCTGCACAACATCTTCAATCAAGAAACCAATATTCAAATAAGACGACCCACCATTTTCCAAAGCTTCTTTCGCCATCTCTCTCAATTTTTCAGCTCTCCTCCTTCTCTCTCTACCCTCACCATCTTCAATATTCATCAACTCCTCCACAGATTCCTTAACTCTTTGCCACGTCACCAACAAACCCTTACTACAACCACCCTCAACTCCCACCCTCACACCTATTTTCAGCACGTGCACGATAAACTTCTCGTTGTAAAACTGCTCGGCAAACATAGGCCACGTAATCATCGGCAAACCTGCACACACCCCCTCCAGCGTAGAGTTCCACCCGCAGTGCGTCAAGAATCCCCCGACGGAGCGGTGCGACAGTATCATCACCTGTGGGGCCCACCCCCGAATTACTAGCCCTCGTTTTTCGACTCGCTTTTCGAAATTTTCTACCTCGAGCCATTTCTCTACTTCAGCTGATGAATCCAGGCCCCTGATTATCCAAATGAATGGGGAATTCGAAGCTTCCAATCCCAACCCAATTTCTTTGATCTGATTGGCTGATATACGACAAAGGCTCCCGAAACACGCGTAAATTACCGATTTGGGCTCCATGGAATCTAGCCATGCTAAGCAGTGCTGCTCGTTTATTGAGGGTTTGTTGCCTCTGTTCGATTTCTCGGTTAGGTTTTTGTTGGATAGTGAAACTGGACCAATGCACCAAAGGTTTTGTCTTTGTTTTCTGTATCCGTTTACGTATTCGGGCTCGAGTTCGTCAAAAGTGTTGACCAAAGTACCCCTGGCGGAAAGTTGAGCTTTTATTATCTGGTTTATTACGCTTGTAGTATGGTCGTTGTTCTCCGGCGATTTTTTGGCGGAGTTTGCGGTGGTCTCCGGCAACTGGGATTTCGTGAACTCGATCACGTGAGGTATGTCAGGTACTAAAAAGGTTTCTTCATCCGACATGGAATTCGGGTTTTCGACGGACAGGATGTTGTGGGAACATAAGAGAGTGAAACACGATATGGTCTCGAAAACATACCTCGGAATATCGAACTCGTCGGCGATTTGCTGCGTCCAGGGGAGTGCGTTGGTGGAGATAATGCAGGCCGGTTTCGGATCAAGTTCGGCCATTGCTTTCTGGAGTGGGGTTTTGAGCATTTCCGATGCGGCGAAGAATTCGGTGGCTAAGCCCATTGAGGTTAACGAGTCCATGTTTTCGCAGCCGTGGGGGAGGCCGGCTTCTTGGCCGGGGAACTGGAGTGGTATCATCTGGATTCTCAGGCCGGCGGCGGCGGCGGCGTCGACGGTTGGTTTGTATCTGACGGCGTTCTGGGGGGTGGTGATAATGGAGACGAGTGGGCCGCGGTGGGCGAGTAGTTTGCCGAAGTCTGTTAACGGGATGATGTGGCTCTGTGACATTAGAGGGATGAGAAGGAAATGAAGATGACGATAGCTCTCAGCTTCTGACGTCATTTGATGATGAATCAAGAAATTATAATTTACTTAATTGAAAATGGCAGAGCAATAAATTAGGTGGTATGTGTGTATTTTTATGATTTTTTCTAGCAAGTCCTACGTAATATATTCAGCAGGGCTATAGGGTTGGTCACACTAGATCTAGAGGGGGTGGACAATATTATTTTTCAATGATAATCGAAATAATAAGAATCGCTAACAAATTGAGTGGACTATATTTTTATTTATTTTTATTTTATTTTTATTGTTATTCTTATTTTTATTTTTATTTTTATTTTTAGACATAGGTAAATTCTGGAATTTTCTTGGAAATTATCGGAGGGACAACTACTAGCTAGGGAGACAGCTATCTAGGAATATTCATCATCGGATTTTGCGCCAGTCTTCGTATTACAATCTAGAAAACCAGAAGTTTAAGTTATAACGGACCGTTCAGTCATTACGATTTACATTCTTCCATCATTTGTGATGGGTCAGGGGACGGGACACTGGGAACAAGAAATTTCGTCTTTTGTTATAAGCTAAATGGAAAGAAATAAAATTCAAAGGAAGAACATTTGCAGTCTATAAAGAAGAAATGGAAAATTGTATTATTTAAAATTAATTAATTTCAAAGGGGATTATACAGTATTTATAAATTATATGTGTTGAGCTGGATATAACGTTTCTATTACCTCAGCCATTAGATATTACATCTAACTACCTACTAATCTAACGGTCACGATTAAATGAAGTAAAGTAAATACAAATATACTTAATAAAAAAACTGAAATGCTAATTACAACGAGACTTTTACTGAAATTGGCTTATTTGCAGCGGTAGTATCATTTGTCAATTTTCTAACTTTCTAAAAAATCAAAACTCTCTCAACTAAAAAAATTCGAAAACAATTTATTAACATTAGATATAGGGGTGGTAAACGAGCCGAGCCGGCTCGCAAACTCGACGAGTCGGCTCGACAAAGGCTCGAACTCGAGCTCGAGTTTTTTGAGATCGAGCTCGAGCCCAAATGTAGTTGTTCGACAGCTCGCGAGCTGCCTTCTATTTTTTTTTTTTTTTTTATTCTTATTCTTATTATTATTATTATTATTATTAACTAAATAGTAAATAGTCTATAATAATAAATATTTCTAGTATTTAAATAGAAACAAATCTATATTACTTAAATAATTCATAATAATATAAAATATTATAATAATAATAATAGAAAAAAAAAATATAACTAGAGTTCATTATTTATTTTATAATTTTTTTTTTTATTTTCCTATAAATAATTTTTAATAAAAAATTAAATGATTTTAATAAATAAAAAAAATTAATGAGCCCGAGCTCGAGCTCGCCAAAATTGGCTCGATGAGCTCGAGCTCGGCAACATGGACTCGAGCTCGAGCTGGCCAAAAGAGACGAGCTTGGCTCGAGCTCGGCTCGTTTCCACCCCTAATTAGATATTGGATGTATATATATCAATAATGGAGGGTGATGTGAAATAAAGAGGTACCACAATTGTTACTGGACCTAGCTAGCTAGAGAGACAACAAAAATATATATATGTGGACATAATTATATATTGCCATATCCAAATATAATTTTATTGTAACAAAGATTAAATCATCTCCTACTTCTCAAACAAATTAATCATTCTCCAAAACATTGCTTATTTTTTCACCAACTGCTGAATATCTCGAATTAGCAACTCAATGTTAAGATAAGAAGAACCTCCTTCTTCCACAGACTTGTTCGCCATTTCCCCAAACTCTTTTGCTCTTTTCCTTCTCTCACATCCACTTTCTCTCTCCTCCATTACTCTCCAAATAGCCTCCTTTATTTCACTCCTCTTCACCAGCTTATTACTTGATGCCTTTACTTCATCACCTCCTAAATGTACAACACCACGTGCACCAACTCCAACACCAGTATTTAATATCCGGACGATCAGTTTCTCATTCAGGAACTGCTCGGCGAACATCGGCCACGTCACCATTGGCAGGCCGGCCGATATCCCCTCCAGAGTCGAATTCCATCCGCAGTGCGTTAGAAACCCTCCGACCGATGCGTGCGATAGAATCATCACCTGTGGGGCCCACCCTCGGATGAATAAGCCCCTCTCTTTAGTTCTCTCCTCAATCCCATCTTCCTTGATCCAATTCTCTATCTCCTCCGATTTCGATCCGGATTTTTTTACCACGATGATGAACGGATGGTTCGATTCCTCCAGCCCTAGTGCGAACTCGACGAACTGAGCCGGCGATAGCCGGCTCAGGCTTCCGAGGCACGAGTAGATTACGGACCCTGGATTCTTACCGTCGAGCCATTTCAGGCATTGGTCGGTGTCGATCGAGGCCTGGTTTCCTCTTTGTGAAATGTCTAAATCGCCCTTGCTGGAAAGTGACAACGGCCCGACGCACCAAACCTTGCCGTTTTTTAGGGTTTTGAACTCGTCCACGTACCTCTTCTCCACCTCTTCGAAGGTGTTGACCACCACCCCGTAAGCCCGTTTCTCGGTTTCCCTCACTTGTTCGCGGACGCCTGTGACATCCAACGGCCCTGGATTAAATAATCCAGGGAGCTGGTTCCTGGTGAACTCGATCTCGTCGGGTAAACCAGGCACCAGGAAAGGCTCATCCGGTGGGCCCCGCTCGTAAACCTTGGAGATAAACAGAGCGTTGCTCACCACCTGAGTGAAGCAGTTCATTCCGTCGAATACAATCCTCGGAATTCGGAACTTATCGCACGTGGCGGCGGTCCATGTTATGTGCTTGTCGCTGATTATGCAGCTGACCGGACTAGGGTTATTATTCATCAGCTCTTTCGAGATTAATTCTTCTAGAGGTTTCTGGAGCATGATGATTGCGTTGAAGAAGTTACCGATGAAGTGATAAGAAGGTAGGGTGTCTGCGCTCTCGCATCCACGTGGCAATCCCGCCTCCTCGCAGGGGAACCTGATTTTGATAAGCTGGATTGACAGCCCGGATTCAACGGCCCGGTCAATCACCGGACTGAACCGTGTGGCGTCGAGGTGCGTGACGAGGATCGAGACGCTGACGTGGCGTCTGGCTAGCAGTTTGGCCATGTCTATCATGGGTATTATGTGTCCTGGCGCCATTAACGGTATCAGAACGAAGTGTAGAGGATTATTGTTTGGTGGTGATGCCATTTTTTTTGAAGATGAGGTTTAATTCTAATTTGAGATTCTGAGGATGTTGTTATAAAGCAGTGGGATTAATTATTATTATTAATAATAATAATATAATAATGTATAAGAACAATGAACAATAATAATAGAGTATAGTTTGGTGTATATCAATTCAAATGATCGATGGCGTAAGAGGTGACGTCAGCATGCTGTACAGACAATTCTATATGGTTTCATGTGATGTTTAGCTAGATCTTTTGTGGTATATATACATATCGCCTTCCAAGTGTCACATGCCACACTGCCGGACATTATCAGAAGACAAGGACAATTCATTGCTAAAAACATTTAGTAACAAACAAAAAAAAAAAAGAAATCATGAATATAATCAGCTGGCTAAAGAGATTTATTAAAACTCTCAATCTGTTATAACTAAGATGAAGGGTACATTACAAACATCTCCCTGATTTTAGGTTAAATTATGAAAAACACCCCCTCTCCGTAATTACCAAAATCCCTCCTATATTTGTTTCAGTCTTACACCCACCTTCATATGGTGTGATTTTTTCATGGAATCTTTTTTTATTTTAGGGAATATTTTTCAACATATTCCAATTCTACCCCTACAAACGTGGCATTTATTTATGCTATTTTTTAAAGAAAAAAATTAGCCTCGTAGTAATTTGGCGATATCGACGGTGGGGATCGATCATGTGGCCTTGTACCATGAAAGGGGGAGGGCAAAATGGGGATTTTCTTGTTCTTGATTAATATATTGGCCGCCAGTCTATGTAACTGTAGGGAAAAGGAGGGAGTTGGTACTGTATGGAGAGCTAGAGATTTTAGTTTGATACTCATATGGAATGAATTAATAGCTTCTTTTATTGTTTCACGATAGGGTTTGTTAGAAAGATATATTTATTTTTGGAGGAACACTCATACTACTTCAGTTTATTTATGACATATTACATTACACAAGAACATGATATATTATATGATAGATATATAAATATCAGGCATTTTCTTGATCATCTGCTAGCATTGACTGTTGAACCACCACATCTTGTATAAGCGCCGCCATATTCCGGTGAGAAGATCCGCCTTCCTCCACCGCCCTTTTCGCCATCTCCCCCATCTCTCTCGCTCTCTCTCTCCTCTCTCTCCCTTCTTCTCCCTCATCCATCAACACCTCAACACCCCTCCTAATCTCCTCACTCTTCACCACATCATTCTCTCTCTCTAGAAACATCGCCGGCACTTCAACCCCCACCCTCACTCCAACCTTGATCACATTCACTATCAACCGCTCGTTGAAAAACTGCTCCGCGGACAACGGCCACGTCATCATCGGCACACCCGCAGTTATCCCCTCCAGAGTCGAATTCCACCCGCAGTGCGTCAGAAACCCTCCGATCGAACGGTGTGAGAGAATCAACACCTGCGGGGACCACCCATGGATCAAGAGCCCCCTCCCATTGTTTCTCTCTCTAAACTTCTCCTCCAATAGCCATGTTTGGAGTTCATCGGAAGCGTTTCGTATAACCCAAATAAAGGGTTTCTTCGAAGCTTCTAACCCTAACCCTAGCTCCATCAACTGTGAGGTAGCTATGTTCGACATGCTTCCAAGGCAAACGTATATAACGGAACTCGGTTCGTGCGAATCGAGCCATTTCATGCACTCGTGCTCGCAAATCGAGGCCTTGTTGCCTCTTACAGCCTTGTCGGAATCCTCTTTGTTGCATAGTGAAACTGGACCGATGCACCATACATTGTTCCCTTTGGCTTTTCTGTAACCTTCAATGTAGTGCGTCTCCAGTTCGTCGAAAGAATTTGAGACCGTTCCGAATGCATTCGCCTCGGCCTCTCTCAACTCGTCCCACATCCGAGTCCACTCAGGGGTTAGCTGGTCAAAAGTTGCCTTAAAATGAGCTTTCGTGACTTCAATTCTGTCGGGCAAACCAGGGACGACAAAGTAGTCGGAATCGGAAGCCATTGCATGAAAATCGTCGGAGATTCCGAGGATGTGCATGCAGAGGAGAGAGAAGCAGCTCGTCCCGTAGAAAACGAGTCTCGGAATTCGCAGTTTTAGGGCAAGGTCGGTTGTCCAGGGGAACCACATGTCGGAGATTAGACAGGTGGGAGAGGGTTTGAGGCGGCGGAGCAGGTGTTCGATATGGTCCTTCATCATGGCGGCGGCTTTGAAGAATTTCATGACGTCGTCGGAAGAAGGGAGCATGTCGAGATTCTCGCAGCCGCGGGGGAGACCTGCTTCGACGCATGGAAATTCGATGTTGAGGATGTGAATGTTGTTCGATAGGGAGGATGATTGTGTGCTCCGGCGGTGGAATCGGGCGGCGTTGTGGGGGGTGGTGAGGATGGTGGAGGCGACGCCGCGTTCGGAGAGCATAGTGGCGATGTCCATGATCGGAATCATGTGGCCTTGTGCCATTAGAGGGAAGAGGATGAAGTGAGGCTGTTTTCCTTTGATCGCCATTTTTAATTTGCTGGGAGTGATATGATGTTTTTTTTTACCTTTTAAATAGGGTTTTTTTTTCTTCTTATCCCGTTGAATTTGATTTACTAAATCCGGATTCTGTGTTTACTTTTATATATTAATAAAAATAAATTATCTAAATTCGAAATCCGATTTCCAAGTTTTTATCTTTTTTGGCAAAATGAAAATAATCAAAATGAAAGATTTGTTCAAATAATAGGCAACAAATGTGAGGGATAAGGATTAAAGTTTCCATAAAAAAGAAATGGTTTTAAACTAAGTAAGCAGTGTATATGTGGTTGGTGTGATATGATGGAAAGTGCAGGTTGGAACCTGCAATTTTGTTGTGCTCACATCACATGTTACAGCAATACCAAAATCAAGTTGTTGTGCTTTTCAACCTTATTATCATCCACACCTACACCCTTTTTCTTCCGTTCCTCTGTCTTATAATCATTATTCGGGTAAATTACAACCACTCCTTGAGGTATTGTCAAATTACGAAAACCCCCTCTTGTTTGGATAATTACAACCACCCCTCAACTCATCAAATTTAATGGAATCTTCGAGATTATATATAATAATATTATCACTTTTGTACCCGTTTTATCTTATTCGAACTCTACATTTTGAAGTAAGATGATCATAATATGTGTTTTTTGGCTTGTATATATCAGATTGTGGTGCATCAAAAACTGTATTTTTACACAAAACGAGTACAAACTAGAGCACATTTCACAGAATCTAGATGATAATTATGTTGAATTTGACACCATAAGGGTGGAGGTGTAAGAAAAAATCATAGTTGAGGGGTAGATGTAATTATTCAAACAAGAGGGGTTTTTTCGTAAATTGACCATACCTCATGGGTGGTTGTAATTTACCATTATTATTATTATTATTGTTATTATATATATATATATATATATATATATATATATATATATATATATCTATCTCTCTATCTTTATATTTATTTATATATATATATATATATATATATATATATATATATATATATATATATATATATATATATATATATATATATATATATATATATATATATATATATATATATATATATATATATATATATATATATATATATATATATATATATATATATATATATATATATATATATATATATATATATATATATATATATACCTTCCAAAAAGAATAAAGTGACAAGTTGGTAGAATAGACTATAGAGTATCTGCTCTTTCACATCCAGGTGGAAATTTGAGACGATTGTGTTGATGGTAAGGCCATTTAATTTTTAAATTAAAAAGAATATATAAAAAGACACAAGTTAATTAATTACAGTAGAACCTCGATAAATTAATACCCGATAAATTAATAACCTCGCTA